CATCTCCAACCATGTGTAAGTGAATCCTTTTCCCCTGTCTCCTCTCCAAAAGCAGGGCCGTGTACCTGTGCCCCCCCAGCACACACCCTCCCCTCACTCCCGAAGCTGCATTTTAGTGTCAAGTCTCAGGTCTCTCGAGGTGCGGGCCTGTGTGTTACATGTGTGCAGGTCACTGTTTATACACACACAATTTCTACAACTGAATTACGACCATGGCCAAACTAGAATTGCTTTCCCTTTCCTATAAAGCAGTTCTTAGAGTCCTGGGGCCGGCGTTGTGGCACAGTGGGTATAGCTGCCACCTGCATAGCCAGCATCCTAAATGGGCACTGGTTTGTGTCCCGGCTGCTTCACTTCTGATCCAGCTCCCTGCTAACGGGCTTGGGAAAGCAGCCCATGATTCTCAAGCAGAGAATGGTTCAGGTCCTTGGGCCCCTGAGCCCACGTGGGAGACCTGGATGAAGCTCCTTGCCCACCATTGTGGCCATTTGGGGAGTGAACCAGCAGAGGGAAGATATCTCTATATATATTTCTCTCTCCAACTTTGCCTTTCAAATAAAATAAATCTTTTAAAAAAATCCCTCATAGAACAAGCACTTGGTTGCAAGTTCTTTAAAAGTTCTAATTTCAAGCAGAAACATAGCAAAAACTGTGCTCTCCAACACTGCTGGTGGCATTAATGCCTTTGGGAAAATTGGCAAAATATATACAGGGTTTAAATGGGTTCATGCATTGCTCTACTAGTTTTACTTTCAAGAATCTATTCTGGAACCACAGTCAGAAACACAGCCAAATTTACACGGATGAAGATGTTCATGACAGAAGTGTTTATGTGAGCAAAAGTTGCTCCCTGATAAACTACCCCTGATTATGGACCACTATAAAGTAAGAATTAATTAGACATTAGGTATCTATTAAAAACCACAGCCTTGAGAAGCTACCCTTAACGTAGAATAAGATGTATCACATGATGTTCACCAGGAAGAAAAGACACGAAATGGTAACAGATATTACAACTAATGAAAATCAGCAAACAGAAACCAAGGTAAAATGACCTCAGTGGAGACTGATTATAGCAGAGGAGGAGCAAGTGGGGTAACTTTTTTTACTCTAGAATGGAATTCTTTAACAATGGAATTCCATCAACGCTTTCAGAAAGTAAAAATTCAAAATTAAATACGAGTAACTTAGGTTGAGAAAGGATCTCCCTTCTTACAGTGTACGCCACTCCCTGGTCGGGACGAGGACAACCATGCCACTTGCTGTGCTTCCTTTTTTGGACTGAGTAGCCAGAAACCCAGAGCTAAAATTAATTCTCAGCCCTAACTGAATTAACGCTCCCAGCAGACTTGTTTTAAACCACATTTTAGGACTTTTGCTGTTATGTTCAGTTACTTCTTAGGAGGAGAAAAGGTGGGTATTTGACATAAACCTTTTTTTATATCTAAAAAAATCCACACATGTAAATGTGAAACCCATCGCAGGCAGGACACCCACAGAGCTGACACAGTGCTGGGCCTCCCGGGAGGGCGGTACTCACTGCACAACCTTTGTGCACTGGGCACCACGGGCATACAACGCCTTCCCAAGTAGATGGAGGCAGGCTTCTCGCCCAGAGCGTGCCACCTCCCACATCCGAGCGCCTGGATTCAATTCCCGGCTCTGCTCCTGACGCCAGCTTCCTGCCAAAGCCGACCCTGGGAGGTGGCAGGTGCTGGCTCAGGTATTTATGTCCCTGCCACGCCCACAGGAGACCTGGATAGGTTCTCCGCTTCTGGCTTCAGCCTGGCCCCAGCTCTCTGCTGGGGGCATTTGGGCAATGAACCAGGGGGTGAGAGATCTCTCAAATAAATTTTAAAAATAAACTAGCTAAAAATAAGAGATCTTGGGTGTTTTTAAAGGTGGCTGGGACCCTACAATTCACACACAGTACAGCTCAGACCCCAGGTCACAGGACCGAAGGCACTGCATCGCCCGGTTCATTGCCCTTCCGCCTACACCAGGGCCGTAACCCCGGAAGCTGTCCCAGAGGGCAGCCGGAAGTCACTGCGTGCGCACGGATCCTACTAGGCGGGATCCTCCCTGGTCCCTCCTCAGACTGCAGCAGCACTGAGACCCCAGGTCCTTATCACGAGGACTGCGAGCAGCCCCTCACCATGGACAAAGACCACACCACGCGAGCGGAATGACGACCCGGGAGGCAGGCCGGGTGGCCGAGTTCTTCCGGAAGCCAGGCCGCTGTCTCCCTGTGCAAGTGTTCCAGGAGGACAGATTTCCTGTTGGATCAAACGCTTGATCCACTAACTCTGCGGAGTGATTCTTCCAACACCTTCGCCAGCACTAGCTCTCGGCAGCTCTTAAAATACTGGTCAAGTTAGTGGGAGAAAAGGATCTTCTTGCTTTACTTACTGCCCACCCACCCCTAATCACTAAAAACTTCTACCCCTAGGTATTCATAGTTTTTATCATGGTTGTGAACAGGATATTTTTCTCCAATATATTTCATAGATAAGTAGACTCTCAATCAAATAAGGTGATTTGCATCTCCTTTCCTTCTCTGGGTCTTTGTGCACTGGCTAAGTCTTCAGAAGATGGAAAAATAGTAGAGGCAGTGGACATCTTTTTCTCATACCTAATTTTGTTGGGAAGATTTCTCATGTTTCAGCAGAGAGTTGATTTTGCTGTAAGTAGATAACCCTTAAATCGTAGGAGTAAACAGACCTTAAAGAATGGAGTTTCTTTACACTTCTAGCTTATGTATGTTTTTTGTCTTCTACAAATCAGGAACACATACTGAATTTTACCAAATGTTTTTTGAAAATCTATTAAAATACTGTCTCCAGTAAGCCATCAGCAGACACCTTAATGTTGAGCTATCCTTGCATTCCTGGGATGTTGCAAATATTTATCAAGCACTTACAGTGCATTAAACATCCTAAATGTTCATTTAATTCTTACATCTCATTAAAAAGTACAGTTTAATTTATAGATCAAGAAATTAAATCACAAAGTCCATTACACAGTGAGTGGAAAGATCAAGGAGCCAGCATTATGGTACAGTGGGTTAAGCCACTCCTTGCGATGCCAGCATCCCTGTATCAGAGTGCTGGTTTGAATACTGGCTACTGTGCTTCTGATCCAGCTTCCTGTTAATCTGCCTTGGAAAGTAGCAGATGATGGACCAAGTACTTTGGGCCCCTGCCACCCACATGAGAGACCAAGATGGCTTCCAGGCTCCTGGCTTCAGTCTAGACCTGCTCCAGTCATTGGAGCCATTTGAAGAGTGGACCAGTGAATAGAAAATCTGTCTGTCTATCTCTCTCAATCTGCCTTTCAAATAAGTAAAGACTCAAACCCAGGAAGTACAGCAGCACAGTCCGATATTTAACCATCTGACTCTTGCTTGGTTACAATATATTTAGAACACACACACACACACACACAGCTGCAGGGCAGGCATTTGGCCTAGCGGTGAAGATGTCACTTGAGATGCCCACATCCTACATCAGAGTGACTAGGTTTGAGTCCTGGCCTCCCTCCTGATGCCTGCTAATGCAGACCCTGGGAGGCATCAGCAACAGCTCAAGTAGTTGGGTTCCTGCCACCCACGTGGGAGGCCTGGATTGAGTTCCTGGCCACAGCCCAACCCCAGCCGTTGTAGGCAATGGGGGACTGAATCAGTGGACAGGAACTTTTTCAAACAAATAAACCAAACACAGCTTCTTTTGGTATTCTAAATTTGGGGGGGGGGGGTTGCATTTGTATTTTTTAAGTGAGTTTGATTTATAGCTTCATGTGTATATTCTAACAGAAGATACTTTTGGCCTTATGGGAAAAGTGTCCATTATTTTCTGTCTAGAATGGCTTAAATAGGATTCTCTTTTACATTCAATTAAACTATCTTTACTTAGTGTCTTTTGAGGAAGGGGCTGGGATGTAGATTTTTGATGTACTCAATTTCCATATCATAGTGCCTTTAAGCCAGCAATCAGCCCTAAAATTCTCACAGTCCCCTGGATGACACACTGCCTTTCAGATGTATGGGAAATATGTTCACTGATGGATTGAGGTATTTCTATTGATTAGTAATGGTTTTTTTTCTTCTAGGCACATTTCTCTAAAATATCCAAACTTTCAGATGTGCCACTCATCCTATAGGCTCTGCCTGGTAACACAAATGGTAGCACTTTGTTTAAATTTGTATCATTTTCTTTAGGCACCTGCTGAGAAAGAGGTTCCATCATCATTTTTTAGGTGGAAGAGGGGAGAAAAAAACTATTTACTCAATGCTGCTAAAACAAAACTCATATGATGTCAGCCTCTAGAAAAAAAAAGAACCATACAACTGTCCATAGATGATGGAAAAAGCAATAAACACATATTAAAGTAAAAAAAAAATGACCAACACAAGAACCAAAACCAGACGATGAAATAAGTTTATAATGATCAATAGAAAGAAATTAGTATCTTGATTTTTGTATTTTGGTCAAGAACTATCAGTATCATAATTTCATTTGAGAGACCCATTATTTCCCTAAGGAAAAAGTCCCAGCAGTTGAAATGCCCATATCCCACATCTGAGTGTGCAGGTTCAAATCCTGGCTTTGGATCCTGATGCAGCCCCCTGCTAATGCACACTCTGTGAGGCAGTGGTGATGGCTCCAGAAATTGAGTCCCTGCCTCCCATGTGGGAGAGACCTGGATTGAGCTGCCAGCTCCTGGCTTTGGCCTGGTCCAGCCCTGGCCAGTATCTGGGGAGTAAACCAGTGAATGGGGGCTCTCTCTGTCTGCCTCTTTATCTCTCTGCCTCTTGAATAAACAAATGCTTTGAAAAAAACTTAAAAGTGCAGACTTGGAAGCCAGACCTTGTGGGGGTGGGGGAGGAGCTGCTCATTTCTACTCTGAACTTTTCTATGTCATGTGATGCTTCAATCTTGGCACAAAAACCAGCTTGATTTTTTAAAATAAAGAAAGAAGGAAGCAGGAAGGAAGGAACCTACCAAAGATGAAGTTATCGGGCCGGAAGAGCTGCCCAAAAGGCCCAGAGCGCACACTGTCCATGGTGCCCGGCTCCAAGTCCACCAGGGCAGCCCTGGGCACATATTTCTGAGCTGGAAGAGAAAAAAAAAGAAAAAAGCAGTGCAAGTTATTTTCTGGTTTTAGGGTAATCGACTCTCCCTAGCAAGTCAACCCAGAAGGGAGGAACCAGCGCCTCCGCAGAGAAAACCATGAGCTTCGCCAACTCCCAGCTTCCCGCTGGTGTGAGGAAGCAGCCAGCGTGGATGGGCAGAGCAGGTTGCAGGGAGAGGCAGGATGAGAAATCAGCCTCCTGACTTCCTGCCTCCTGTATTTTCCAGTTCACCCTGACCCCTCTTTCCTGTTGGGAAGCTTTCTTTTTTTTAACCCCATGGAAATAAACTGTGTGGCAGCAAACTGTCACACGCTTTCTGGCACCTCCCCGGGCACACACAGACAGGAAGCACTCAGCTTCAATCCGAGCATCTCCCGGCAGGCTCCAGCCCGCTGGTGCTGGGGGCCCCCTTACTCTCACTTTCATACCCACAGGGCAGGACACTGTCCCCAGTGTGGCAAGGGTTAATAGGACTCCAAACAGGAGCTCCCCTTACAAGTCCCCTGCTGTGCCCACACCCAAGTTGAAGAAAGGGCACAACCTCCTGGGCCTAACAGGGTTAACAGGAAGTGCAACAGGCACTGGAATTTTCCTCGGTGCTGGCTAGAAATTCCATCTTGCATGCCCTTGGTGATCCAGACCTTTTGTTAGAGCTGCTCAAGTGAGCAGACCCAGTGACTCACGGAAAGTGCTCTTGCAGCTCATGTGTGGACAAGCACCAAGTGACTCAAGAGTGATTATCTCTGGGGACATTTATGTATGTGTGAGGGCAGCACCTGTCACTCTCAGTGTTCCCTCGCTGTCTGGGGAAGGTACCCCTTTTATAACAAAAGTTGCTGTAGAAATAATGCTTACATCACAATATGTATTTGAGGGTACTTAGAAATTTTTGTGTAAAATGGAACTAAGGGGCGAGTGCTTAGCCTAGCAGGTAAGACACTCAGGTCTCACATTGTAGAACCTGGGTTGGATTCCCAACTCCAGCTCCTGACTCCAGTTTGCTCCCTGGGAGGCTTGGTGAGGCTACAGTGATTCTGCCACCTGGATGTAGGTGCCTTTAAGAAATTCCTGGCTCCCAGCTTCAGCTCTGGTCCAGCCCCATCCCAGCCATAGTGGTCATTTGGAGCGTGAACCAGTGGACAGGAGCTCTGTCTGCCTCTCCTCCTCTCTCTCAATAAATAGACAACAAAAGACCAGGGAGTTAAAAGGAAGTTTATTTGGGTACAATAAAAATTTGAAATCCATGCACAGCAGGTGTCTTCACAACAACTATACAGGGATTTCCGTGTTTTATTGCCCCCAAACAAACTTACCTTTAATTTCATTTTTCACCAACTTTCTAAAGCACCCCCGATGGGTGCCCAGGACAGGAGCCGGCAAACCACAGCCCGGAATTTTTTACTAAACTCCATTAGCGACTCAGACCTAGGGCAGTTTCAGCCGCCAGAGAAAAAGTTGGAGACAGCGTTTTTCAAAAAGTTTAGCCCAGTACCCATTACGAGGTGTATTTTAAGTTCCCTGACTCCGTTCTGCGACTCCGTGCCCTTAAAGGAAGGGAAGCCTGTTTGGGCGCCCAAAGCAGAGTTCCCAATACGAACGGGGCGTCTCCTCACGGCGCTCAGACCCTCGCAATGGGCCCGCCCGACCCCGCGGCTGCAATTAACTGACGGCCGCTTTCCCGCCCGCCCCAGGGGGAGCGAGGGTGTGGCCGGGCATCCCGCGGGATCTGCACCGAGGCGGCCCCGAGCCCACGCCGGGATCCGGGCCAGCAGGGGCCAGCAGGGGCCGGCATGGCCGGGATCCGGGAGGGGCATGGTCGCCGGTCATGACGGGGGTCATTCGGGGTCCAGAGCGATGGGCTGGGGTGCGGCGGCGGGGAGGGCCGCGCTACTCACAGGATGACTCATTGTAGTAGACGTTGATCCTCTCCAGCTGCAGCGCCGAGTCACCCACGTAGCCTCCGGCCGGGTCGATGCCATGCTCGTCGCTAATCACTTCCCAAAACTAGGGGAGGACGAGGCGAAGGGACAGGCCGTCAGGACCCGGAGCCCACGGGGCCCTCTCCGCGCCCACCCCCAGGGCCGGCGGGGCAGGGCGGGGGCGCGGGGCCGAATTCCAGGCGCGCCTGAGCAGCCGGCAGCCTCTCCCAGCTGGGGCGGGACGGAGCATGGACAGGGGTCCCGGCCGCGCCGCCCCCGCCCCGGCCCCGGCCACGCCACCGCTCCGGCGCTCGCTCCCTGGGCGTCGAGGACCGGGGGGCGTCGAGAGGCCGCGCGCCCCGGCGGGGCGGCCCCGGGAGACTCCGGCCCGCTACTCGCCCGCCCTCCGGCGGCGCAGCCCTTCGCCCCTCTGCGCCCACCTTGGTGCCAATCTGGTTCCCACGCTGTGCGTACGAGAGGGTAGAAGATCTACTAATCTGATATAAGAGACTCAGCTATAAAAACTAGTAGCAACAACCAGCGTAGCGAACGCAACCATGTTGATGACTTATCCGGATTCGGCTGTCCAGGAGCCAGAGATAAGTCGGGTGGGAGCGAAGCAGGGCGGGGGTGGTTGAGAAGCAGAATAAGGCATAGCGAAGATAAACTGACTGACCCGTTATTTTTGAAGTCCTTGCCGAGGTGGGGCGGATGAGGCTTGGGAAAGGCAGGTAAGTTTTAGTTCAAACCTGAAACAAGAATTGCAATTTGAATTGCACTGTACATTTGGCTACTTGATAG